GTTATCATCTTAACAATAGATTGCTTAACTACGTCACTGCGTACGACAACTTGTTTACATATGTTTATCGAACCCAGATTCCTCACGGTTCAAACACGAAGCGACCCAAACGACGAAATCTGAAACAGTGAAACTTTCTACTCTCTGCGTATCAACTGACTTTATCTTGGGAAGACCATTAACTGTAAGTTAATTCATCTTGTTAGTTTCTTAGTATTTTCGAAGAAATTCAGAGTTCAAATATGATGACTCAATATCGGATTGCGTGATGTAATACATTAAAAAATTATGTGAAATTGTTCCTTTTAACAACATTACAGCGCTATTTTAATGCGAGTTATCACCTTTAACTTGTTTCTGGCTTACCTAGCATTTAAGATATCTATAATGTTCACCGTGAATACTTTTAATTATCTTTCGTTGTCTTGATTTGCTCGAAACACCAACGCTACATCCATGAATATGTTGTCCTTTATGGTAAGGTTGTCTTTAAAAACTGATGTTTTCATCAACGAAAGGAGATGATATACTCCATATAAATGTTAAATGATACCAATGACAAAGCTAACAGTATTAGTAAATGATACTTAAAATCGAAATCAGCGTTTTTGTCTTGCTGCTGTTATATTTTGATTCTATTTTATATTATGTCTGTACGCCGTTAAACGTTTAGTTTATGCTAAAGTCGTGCAAATTTGCGACAAAAGGGTTTTTTACTAAACTAGGTTCGTGAGTTTAAAATATTAAGTATATTCCTCTTCGCTGTCGTGGCGTATTTCTGTAGAGAGAAAATTTCTTATCGTAAGTTCCTTAGTTATATGTAATGTAGTATTTTCGTGAAAGCATTTATCCTTTGTGTTTTTAGCTTTTTGATTCTTATACGTAAACTTTAAGAGGCGAGTTTTATAATTTCATAGCACAAAGTCTAATTCACGGGATGACGCAGTGAAAATTCTGCGGCTATTCTTGTTGGAAAGCATTGTTTTATAACTAAAGTTTAAACTTTCCCGCAAGATCACTCCAGATCACTAAAGCTTGTTGCAACTGTTATTTGTTAATATGATTTTAGTGTTCAAGTACATTAGTTGCGAAGTGTGTGATTGTCATCCTAGGCGTTTTTTCCTTGGTACGGAAGAAATTAATTATTTCATGTCGAAATGTAAATTATCCATAAAAATGACGGAACATTTTTACTTCATTTTTGCTGACATGCATTAAAATATAAAATTATGAGTGCATGACTTGTTCTCGTTTCTTGTGGGCTTATTGGAATGAAGCGGCAATTTTCTTGTATGAAAATGCCTTTAGTAGAGCGTAGTTTAAATTAGTTTTATGTTCAAATAAAATTGAGTGTTGCCTGACGTTCGGAGAGCAAAATATTTTGAACAATTTTACCTCAATTTAAACTGAATTTTATTTTATCAGTATTGTTGACATAAGTTCTATTTTATTGAAATATTGTGCAAGTTTTCAAAAGAATATTTTGTGTGGGGAAATTGATTTTCCCTTTAAATGCTACTTATTTAGTTTCGTTTATTAATACTGATTATTGCAAAATCTCTTTGAGGAAATGAGTTTGTCCTTCTTTTTCTTAGCGTACTTTATGTTAACAACTTTGTGTTTCTATGAAGAACTGTTATACAACATAATATTAATGCCATGACAGCTTTATTTCATTAAGAAATATTTTAAACTCAATGAGTAATGATAAATGGAGTAAATGCATAAGTATATTAGAGTAAATCAAACTGTGAGCTTCTCGAAGCAGTTGTTGTTACTGATCTTATAAATCTGATGTTTACTTGCTTTCAGATGAACCAACAACAAATTTTCATAAATGCTCAACATAATCCACAACTATTGCAAGTTGAACTGGGCCAGGTACTTGTTAAAAAGAATGATGTTATATTATATGCACACTAATTCTTGCTCTAATTGAATTGAACCGTAACCAGAAAGTTATGAGGGAGGGGGTGCATATTTTAGAAAAACCGAATACTTGTGATTTTGTTTTAGAATAGAACATGGAATCCAAATAGCATAGTTTCAGAATATGACTACATGGTTTAAGACAATGTATTGTCTTTCTCATTATTAAACATATCAATTTGTTTCTATTAAATTGAATAATAAGTTAACAGTATTCAGGCATTTTTACAAATTTTTTTTGTGAAAATGCATCCAAAAAATCTAATTGAAACTTTTATTCCTGTTGAGGTTCAGCGGAGAGATCAACTACCAATGGGTAATGTATCATTTGTGTTGGTGCAAGTGCGAAGTTAGTAAATTGCCCTTCGTCTTCGTTATGGTAAGTTATGTAGATATGAAAAAATTTTCATCTATTTAAATGGTTAACAACTAATTTAGATTACAAACTTTAAATAGCTATTTTTACCCATTTGGATAATTTTTGTGAGTAGCTATGTGCAGCAAATCACTTTGTGAGAACCAGCGGCCTACATCATACTCTTCCCAAAATAGTTCATAATGATGACAAAGCCATTGTTCAGTGTTCATAAAGCATCAGGGTCTGAGTCATCTCATACAGCTTTTATAGCTACATTAAAAAGTTATGTTTCCAAGTCACTGTTCATAAACATGAGCTACAAGGACAGTTCATTAGCTACAAAGGAATCAGTTCGTACAGTTTTTTTAATACATTCTACAAATGCCGTGTTCTCTTCGAAGTCATTCGTTCTGAAGACAGTTTTAGAAAAATAATGACAACCATAGAAAAACCATAACTTAACAAACAAACTACCTATATGATAAGTCTTACAAAGTAAGCAACATTTAAATTCAAAATGCTGCTAAAATATAATTTAAGTAGGTGTTATATTGTATTGAAATGTTCTCCATTTATAACAATGCATTAGTCATCTGATTCACTGTTGCATTTATTGGAGTATTTGCTTTCAACAGCAATGTACACAATTTACATATTATATTATGTAGTCACATCTCTAAATGCAGAAAACCTTATCCATTTTCCATCTATATCTACACATAAATTTAGCAATGTGTCTATCTGTCTCTGTCTTTGTGTTGTATTAAATTCTTTTGTTATCTATTATGAAGTAAAAATGCTATGTCCTGGCAAACCGTGCTCTTATCTATGCAATGTACTTTGTGGATTAATTCAATGTCTTATAAGATGTGAAACTTTTTCTCAATTGCATTAATTTATACTTTCAGAAACTTGTAAATTGTTTATGCAAACATAATATTATATTCCAATCACATGTGGTTTGAGCATCAGTTTATGATCACATATTTATTACAACTCAACTTGTTTGATAGTGATAATACACATTTTTCAAAATGCAGCTATCCACATGTACACTAAGTGCACCTGTTTTTGTTATTTTTGATATTCATATTCATCCTGGCTCAGGCATTTTTTACATCAAAAATAAAGTTGACATTGACAAACACTCTAGAATTGAATTTTTTTTCCAATTGAAGGTAATATGCTTGTACCAGTGGTTCGACCAATGAGTATCCATGTTGCATCCATGTTGCCAAGGACTGAAGTGATTTCTCGTCAACTACCTAGCCGTGAGTTAGCATTTTAAAATGGTTGATAGCTAAATTAAATTATAAATTGTTAATGATTGTTTACCCATTTGTTCATTTTTTTTGTGTTATCCTGTAGGAGATGCTGTGGAATCAGGTCATTCAAACCAAAGGAATGAATCAGACACTGAACCAATGGATATCGATTATTAACTAAACATCATTAATAAAGTAGTGCAATATAATTCTACTTAAGTATGATAGTTTATGTACTAGTGTTATAACATTGAATTATTTTTTATTTATGCATGCGAAGCGATATATTTTAATTTCCTGCAATTTGATTGGCTGCCTCAGCGGCAGCTTTTTACGATACCGGCCTGTTGGCAGAAGTGATATTTTTTGCAATGTATTTGTTAACCAAATGAAATGTAAATTTTTTAAATTGATTTAAAAGCAATGCAAACTCTTGAAAATTATTTATTGGTGTATCACCTATATTTTCTTAAAGGAGTTTTGTTATCAACATCCCTTTTGAGTGTAGCTAATGCCAATCGGGCTAGTTGTATAATTATAATCCCACATTTAGAAATGTTCTTTTAGTTGGCAATTTACATTTTTACAATCTATATTTCTTTAACTCATTTATAGCACTGGCCTTTTTTTGATAACATGTAGCCCAACCAGTGGTTTTCTCTTGCACAAACATTAAATTTCGAAACCATGGTTATCTATAAAGCGGATTTCATGACACCTGTCCTGCAAAAACATTATCCATAAGTAGTTCAGACATCAGTTTTCAACATGAAGTATTAACTTTGCTGATCTTCACAACATATAATGCCTTGAAAAATCACCATTTTTAGGGTTGCCTTGGAATTTCGAATAAATAAAGTTTATGAAACCATACTGAATTGTCTTTTCTTGCTTTGAATAGTTTTCTTATATTCATAAACAACTGCCTCTTTGTGCAGATTACATTTATTCAAGGAATTCTGTGCAATGAATCATGCAGTAACATAAGCAAAATAATTTATAACAAGTGCATCAATGTTTGTTTCACTGTTATCTACAGTTATGATAAATCATTTTTGTTACATTGATATGAACATCATCCTCAGCTCTCCTCTTTATCTCATAATCATCCGGCACGTCGGTATCCAATTTCTTATTTCCTGATCAAGAAGTGGATAATGGATTATCCAATTGCCTTGATCAAAATCATCTTGTTCCCGATTCTCCTGGATAGGAGAAGTGGATTTAAGCCAAAGCCTTGATCAAATGTTTTCAAACCAGATGAATCAGGACTCGGAGTTTTACGAATTACTCAATTAGTTTGTTCAGGTACCTAGGCTGTAACGCAAAATATCACGACTTCTATTGTCTTTTACTAGAAGCGATTCAATGCGATTCATGTTTTCTTTGATCTTTCTCTCTCTCCCCTCCCCCCTTTCCAGCGTTTCCCAACAAATTTGCTATTCAAAATGGCGGTGGATTATGCTTCTGGGCTGTCAGATTATCACATAAAGGAAAGTGCGGAGCACCTGAGGTTAGTTAAATTTATAACCTGTGATAATTTTCGTTATTTTTTTGACTGTAGTTTGAGTTCTAATTGTACATTTTCTTTCATCAAGGGCTTAGGGCTCAACATATTGTCTATTGTCTAGCATTGATTGAGTCTTTGACAACAAAACAAATGAGTCGAAATAACTCAAATGAGTAAAGAATCCAGCTCTTTCTGGAGAATGTCTTTTAAAATTCCTATACATTGAAGTTTTATCTAGTCAAATTTATTCACACGAAAGTTGAAGTAATGCTATCCTAATTTTACCATTAGACATTAGACGGCTTTAATAAAATCTTTTTGTTTCAAGTTAGATTTGTTAATTGTTTAGTAATTAGTATCGTCTGATAAAATATAATGACTAGTCATATGTTAAAAACTATTAATAAATGTGAATTAAAAAGTGTTCTAAGCTAGATGGTTTATGCTTAGATGTTGTAGAATGATGCAGGTGTAAAAAGTCTTTCAAACCACAAGTAAATGGATTTTTTTTAAATTGTAATGCCTTAATCACAATTTAGTAGGCATATACATGATTGGCACAAATTATATTAGTGGATTTGCCTACTTTGATACAGTTTGTGTATACTACAAATTTGATCAAGCAACCAACTAATGAAAAATTTCTAATCTTTGTCAGCTTTTTGACTCCAAAGAGAAACTTGCAAGCAAAATCATAGAGTTGTCAAAATTGATCAAAGAATGCAAACATTTGGTGTTCCATACTGGAGCAGGAATCAGTACTTCATGTGGTATCCCTGATTTTTGTGGACCTAAAGGAGTTTGGACATTGGAAGCCAAGGGAGAAACCCAAGTTTGACATCACATTTAAAAGTGCTGCTCCAACTTTGACACATATGGCAATGTTGCAACTTGAAAGGGAAGGTTATTTGAAGTTTGTTGTGAGTCAAAATGTTGATGGCTTGCATTTAAAGTCAGGATTTCCAAGGTATTGTATTTAATTATAAATAATTCTTAAAACTTAGATACTGTAGTAAATTATTATATTGTTTTGCTGCTATTATATTGTTGATTGATATTATTGCTGTACATAGGGTTAAAGATTGAGTTAGTTTATTTTATCATGGTGACTCTAGACTTAAATACTCCAGTCTAGTGTCTTCATCAAAATGGATCTAATGTTAAAACTTGCGTCGTGACATACTCCAGTTTAGTTTCTTCATCAGGAGTGATCTGATGTTGAAATTTGAGTTCTTATATACTCCAGTCTAGTGTCTTCATCAGGAGTGGTCTGATGTTGAAACTTGAGTTCTTATATACTCCAGTCTAGTGTCTTTATCAGGAGTGGTCTGATGTTGAAACTTGAGTCCTTATATACTCCAGTCTAGTGTCTTCATCGAGAGTGGTCTGATGTTGAATCTTGGTTAACATACTCAGTCTAGTGTCTTCATCAGGAGTGATCTGATGTTGAAATCTGAGTTCTTATATACTCCAGTCTAGTGTCTTCATGAGGTGATCTGATGTTGAATCTTGGTTCCTAACATACTCCAGTCTAGTGTCTTCATCAGGAGTGATCTGATGTTGAAATTTGAGTTCTTATATACTGTAGTCTAGTGTCTTCATCAGGAGTGGTCTGATGTTGAAACTTGAGTTCTTATATACTCCAGTCTAGTGTCTTTATCAGGAGTGGTCTGATGTTGAAACTTCAGTCCTTATATACTCCAGTCTAGTGTCTTCATCGAGTGGTCTGATGTTGAATCTTGGTTCCTAACGTACTCCAGTCAAGTGTCTTCATCAGGAGTGATCTGATGTTGAAATTTGAGTTCTTATATACTGTAGTCTAGTGTCTTCATCAGGAGTGGTCTGATGTTGGAACTTGAGTTCTTATATACTCCAGTCTAGTGTCTTTATCAGGAGTGGTCTGATGTTGAAACTTGAGTCCTTGTATACTCCAGTCTAGTGTCTTCATCGAGTGGTCTGATGTTGAATCTTGGTTCCTAACATACTCCAGTCTAGTGTCTTCATCAGGAGTGATCTGATGTTGAAATTTGAGTTCTTATATACTCCAGTCTAGTGTCTTCATGAGGAGTGATCTGATGTTGAATCTTGGTTCCTAACATACTCCAGTCTAGTGTCTTCATCAGGAGTGATCTGATGTTGAAATTTGAGTTCTTATATACTGTAGTCTAGTGTCTTCATCAGGAGTGGTCTGATGTTGAAACTTGAGTTCTTATATACTCCAGTCTAGTGTCTTTATCAGGAGTGGTCTGATGTTGAAACTTGAGTCATATATACTCCAGTCTAGTGTCTTCATCAGGAGTGGTCTGATGTTGAAACTTGAGTCTTTATATACTCCAGTCTAGTGTCTTTATCAGGAGTGATCTGATGTTGAGACTTGAGTCCTTATATACTCCAGTCTAGTGTCTTCATCACGAGCGATCTGATGTTGAAACTTGAGTCATATATACTCCAGTCTAGTGTCTTTATCACAAGCAATCTGATGTTGAAACTTGAGTTCTTATATACTCCAGTCTAGTTTCTTCATCACGAGCGATCGGATGTTGAAACTTGAGTCCTTATATACTCCAGTCTAGTGTCTTTATCAGGAGTGATCTGATGTTGAGACTTGAGTCCTTATGTACTCCAGTCTAGTGTCTTCATCACGAGCGATCTTATGTTGAAACTTGAGTCCTTATATACTTCAATCTAGTGTCTTCATCACTAGCGATCTGATGTTGAAACTTAAGTTCTTATATACTCCAGTCTAGTGTCTTTATCAGGAGTGATCTGATGTTGAGACTTGAGTCTTTATATAACCCAATTCATCATCTTCATCGTTGACCAGAAAACATGACTTTAAAAAATAACCATAACATTATTTCCCTTACAGGTGCAAGTTGGCTGAGCTCCACGGTAACATGTTTGTCCAGAAATGTGAAAACTGCCATAGAAATTATCTCTTTGGTGATCCAGTCAAAACTGTTGGTTTAAAACGAACTGGAAAGCAGTGTTTGGGAGGAAGAAGAGGCAAATGCAGGTTATTGAACACCTCAAAATGTTATTAAGGTTTTACACCCAAAAGCTAGGATATATACAGTATTTCACTTTGAAACAATTTATTGGAACAATATCTTTAGAGATTGGTGGATCTAGGATAGGTCAGAATAAATTGTCAATTATATTTTCATTTGCAAATGCAATTTGGAGTGTTTCAATTGTAAATATTCTTTAGAAATTTGTAACAAGGAGCATTGCTAAAAAAGTGTTAAAAAATTAATAATGGGCTAGGTACTACTAGGTACATCTATTGTTTTTATGTTGCCTTACCTTAGATACACAACTGTCCTTATACTTGCAAAATACATGGTAGAATTTCAGAACATAGGTCTTGCTATCTTGAGCAAAGCCTGAAATGAAGGAAATATTTCATGATGCGGCAAAAAAATACCATGTTTTGTTTTTCATCTGGTTCTTATGAAAAATGTGCATTTCATAATTGTAGCCATTTTATCCAGAGTGGTTATTTTAGAGAAGGCAGAGTCTGTCTTGTGAATGAAATGGGCAAGTTAAGGGATTGGGGAGTTGCCATTTAAAATGTCATTAGTAATTTCATCATTTGCACACTTAAAAAAGAAGACATAAAATCATAGCCATCATTGCCAAGGAAATATTTTGTATTTTACTTGAACTTGAACATGGCACAAAACTGATCTTTCTAACTGGAGTATAACATTAACAGTTCTTTTCAATTCAGAGGTAAATTGCGTGATACAATATTGGATAGGGAAGATTCTCTACCAGTTGATGATCTGGCTGCATCTGAATATCATTCGAGTAATGTATGCCATAAACAAATGATGACGTAAAGATTGTGTTATATATGACGTCATTTTTCACATGTCGCAGTTCTAAAATTTGAATCTTAATTCTGTCATTATATACTTTGGCGTTTATTATACTTTGGCCTAAATACTGTCGTTTTATATATATAAATATACATAGTTAAAAAAAAGAGACTTTTTCTCATTTTGATTTATCTGATCATTATGTTTGCATAATGCAAAATGTTGACGATTTTTTGAAAACCTGATCAATTTTACCGAATTTCTTGTGCTAATTTCTTTGAGGGAGAGTTTATTTGAAAATTGTCATATTAAGGATTTGATATTATTGATTTGATTGATGTTTGTAGATGTAAATCGACTAGGTTGGTGGAGTCCTGAGAAGGACTGTTGTTGTTGTTGTTGACGTCACTCTGAAAATGACCACCGCTAAGGTTGTCGAAACGTCAGTCAACAACAACAACAATCCTTCTCAGGACTATCTAACGGACGATCTACATCTACAAACATGTAACGATATTCCGGTTCAAACCATTCTCTTTATTATTAATTTTTTTGCGTGGTTTTAACCATAAATAATTTACGAATTTTAGAGTCGCAGATTTATCTGTGTGTCTTGGAACATCACTGCAAATCAACCCGAGTGGAAATTTACCCGTACAAACTGTGAAAATGATGGAAAACTTGTAATTATTAATTTACAAAGACTAAACATGTACGTACATTGAAAGCTGTATGTATGATTTTTCTTATTGCAACAAAACAATAGACACTTCGTAAGGGACATTTTATTCTAAACATTTCGATTCAGTAGTTCCTGCAATGTAGCTAGGTCAATGGTCAGAACCGTTAAGGAGGGAGGAGGGAGGGGATGATGATTGAAGCAGAAACTGTTGAAAGACAAACATGTTTCGTTATTATCTTGGAGTAAACCTAAATTTGAAGATGAATCGAAGAACTCTTTTGATGAAAAGAATGGAGCAAAATGCGTTGAACTAAAGTCGGAATTGTTGACAGTTGTACGTGAAGGCGAAACAGGTAGAGTTGACAATCCGCTAAAAGCTGTCAAAACTTCAACTGTAGATGCTCGAAATGAAACTGATGACATTTGTTCTTCAGTAAAACGAGAAAACAAATGTTTGGAGGAAAGGGAGATTATTCTGCGAGTGAAACGCCGATAAAAGGACCAAATGTAATTGAAGAGTTTGATGTAATTGTTAGTAAAATTACAAGTACACAAACATAGAACTATTAGTAGGGCCATTAATATAAAATTGCTTTATATAAGGTCCTTTAATTTATTTATTTATTCTAACGGTTCTAAAGGCCTTTAATTTATTCTAACTGTTCGAAGGAGCACAGCATAGAAACAAGCAGTAGTCCCACTTTGCTGTGCAACTTGGTGCTGTATATTTAATTTGATTACCTGAGCGCTCCTATTGGTCAGAAAATACAGTTTACTGGCTGCCACCCTGTTAATCACATGCGTAATAAGATATGCGCTTCACATAAAATTTCTATTGAGTGGGACTACTGCTTGTTTCTATACTGTGAAGGGGGCTTTAATGGCTACGAAGGTGTCGAAAATACATGAACGGACGTATGTAGGCCGTTTATTGGCTCGTATACGGTAAGTGATATTTTTTTGAAATTTCATTTAGTATACCGGAGAAATTTTTCAAAGCATCGCTTTTTAAGACATTTATGTTCAGCAGCAGTGTGTAGCTAGCGGTCTGGCTGGTCGGGCCCAGCCCGACCAAATATTTTCCCAAAAATGAAAAATTTGTTTTCTTTAAAATTGGATTTGCGAAAATTTTAAATTCTGCGACTCTTTTTGGAATAGCCACAGCTACTAGTGTAATATTTGTCAAATTGCGTTGCTATTAACAAAATTATCATATTTTTAAACGTTACTTAGCAACAATGACAAGTGCATTTCTAGGGCCAGGCATTACGCAGTTTAGTCGGGCTCTGAAAATTCAGCCCGACGAAGTAGTAAAATTTATATAAAGTAAATGGTTTGAACCCGGGAGTATCGTTATATGTTTGTAAATGATGATCGTCCAGGTTAATAAAGTCCTGAGAAGGACTGTTTTTGTTGTTGTTGACTGACGTTTCGACAACCTTAGCGGTAGTCATCTTCAGAGTCAAATGAGGAGTAAACGTCAGGTTAGCCGTATTTGTTGTCTGGTTCTTACGTCATTGTATTGTGTACAGGAAATGTGCAGGAAATGTGTATTGTCATTGTGGATTAGTGTGAAGTGAAATATTTTATTTTTAGTTGTGATGTGTGATTTAGGTGTGACGTTTTTAGTTGTAGTGTGTGGGTGTCAATTGTGTATTGTCATTGTGAATTAGTTTGAAGTGTAATGTTTTTAGTTGATCGTTTGTTTGTATTGTGAATAAGTCGTTTGTAAGGTGCCGGTAATTGCTGTGATCTGTTCAGGGGGGTTTGTTCCAAGTTGGTATACCAACTTTCTAATGTAAGCCGTTGTCTATAGTCAGTACTGTAAGTGATACATTTTGCCGAGTCCCAGTCAATGTTGTGCTTTGTGATTCGGTGATGTTCGGCAATGTGATTAGTTTTGTCTTGTTTCTTAGTAGCTCGTTTGTGTTCAGTAAGTCTTATGTTTAAGTTCCTGCCAGTTTCTCCGATATAGGAGGCGTGGCAGTCGGAGCAGTTTATTTTGTAAACTGCACCTTGTCGTTCGTTGGTTTGTTTTTTGTCCTTTATGTTCGTTAGTACTTGTCGTAACGTTGTGATTGGTTTATGTGCGACACGTATGTTGTATGGTCGTAAGATACGCGAGATAGTCTCAGACGTACCTTTGATGTAAGGTATCGTTGCTGTTGTCACTGAGTTGTTCGTTTCGTTGGGTTCGTTGGGTTTGTAAGTGTTGCGTTTGATAAAGTCAGAGTTATAGTTGTTTTTGTCAAAAACACGTTTGAGATAGTTGTTTTCGTTTTGTAGAGCGTCCGGTGAATCAAATACGATTTGTGCAAGTCTTGTTAATGTTTTGACTGTGGTGGCTTTGTGTAGGGTTGTAAGATGATTATTATAGTAGTCGGTCAGTATGTGTTGGCTTGCGATAAACTGTTGTTCGTGGTATTTGATTGTCATAATTTACGAAACATTTGAGAAAAGGAAGAGTTCCGTTTTCTTCGACATCTTTGGTAAATTGTAAGTGGCTGTTCTGTTTGTTGATGTGAGTATGGAAGTCATCAATCTCGTCTGCATGTAGTGCTATGATTGTGTCATCTACGTAGCGAAACCAAAAAGGTAGTGCATGTTTGTAAGTCGTGAGCGCCCGTTCCTCTATAGATTGCATTACAATTTCAGCAACTAACACAGAAACGGGCGAGCTCATTGCTGTCCCATGTAATTGTTTGTAGTGTGCTCCTTTGTATTGAAGTAAGTCGAGGACTTTCACTTCCAATGACACTTCACAACTCACAATGACAATACACATTTCATGTACACACAATACAATGACGTAAGAACCAGATAACAAGTACGGCTAACCTGACGTTTACTCCTCATTTGACTCTGAAGATGACTACCGCTAAGGTTGTCGAAACGTCAGTCAACAACAACAAAAACAGTCCTTCTCAGGACTTTATTAACCTGGGCGATCATCATTTACAAACATAGTAAAATCTATAGTGGGAATATCTGTAATCTGATTGGTTGAGAGTAGCTGAACACACTCAAACGTTTAACAACATCAAGTCGGGCTCATTTTCAAAAGCGTGACTTGAATTTTGAGCTTTCGAAATATACGTTCGGAAATCGTGATTACTTACATTACAATGGCTTCGGCTAATGAAATCGATATAATAAGTGAACTACAAAGAAACCATTTTCTGTTCGACAATCAGGCGAGCAAAATATACTCGTAAAGCAGCGGCCAATTCCAAATTTACAAGCGACTACAGGCAATAGAAGCTTTCAGGAAAGTTGGTACTCGAAGAAAGATTGGCTTTGTGGTAGCTCAGAAAAGAATGCATTGTTATGTTGGCCTTGTCTTTTATTTTGCCCTGGATCGTCATCTTCATGGACGCAGACAGGATTCAAAAACATGAAGAATTTCCTATCCGTTTGTAAGAAGCATGAGAAGGCTAAATCGCACATGGGTGCTTACAAGACCTGGAAGACCTACGGTTTTCAGCCTCGTGTCGACTGTCTCATGTCACAAACTAGACGTGAAGCGATTCAGCCTCATAACGAGGAGGTAAGGCAAAACAGGGAAATGTTGAAAACCATAACAGAAGCTGTTTTATACTTGTCTAGGCAAAAGCTTGCATTTAGGGGGCATGATGAATCTAGTGGCAGCATGAATAGAGGAAATTATAGAGAGCTACTTGAAAGTTTTGCCAAGATAGATTCTCTGCTTGCTGAAACCCACCTTGCTGGGGGAGGGCGGTTTACTGGAGTCTCTCCTGATATTCAGAATGATTTGATTGATTGTCTTGATAAGATAATAGAGGATGAGATTTTTAAGGAAGTATATTGCTGCACTTTCTTAAGTATACAGGTTGATGAGGCAACTGATGTTTCTACCAAAGAGCAATTGAGTGTAATTGTTCAAATGGACAAAGGGGAAAGTGTCATTGAAAGACAGCTTTGGTTTGTTGATGTTAGTTGTGATAGGACTGCAACTGCTATATCATCAGTGGTTAAGGGTAAGTTAAGTCAATATAATAATGTGAAAGAGAAATTTATTGGACAGACTTATGATGGTGCATCTGTTATGTCTGGTCATCTCAATGGTGTTCAAGCTCAAGTTCAGCAGGATTATCCTTATGCTCAATTTGTTCACTGTGCTGCCCATAGACTAAATCTAGTATTATGTCAAGCTGCATCCTCCATTTAACCTGTTAAGATTTTCTTTGTTAATATTAGTGCTTTTTGCACCTTTGCGATTCCCCAAAGAAAGCTTTACTATCATCCCATAGGCTTGAGTTTCCTAGTCCTGGTGACACAAGATGGTATTATAGGGCTCATGTCATCAATGTCTTGCATTCTAACTATGAAAACTGATAGACATATTTGAAAATCTTTCTGATAATCCTATAGGCTGGGATGGTGAAACGTTAAGTAAGGTTACTGGTTTACTTGGCTACCTTAATGGCTTCTTGTTTTGTTTCTTGGTACATGTTTTCCAGAGAATTTTTGAGCAGTCATCCATACTTTATTCTATCTTGCAAGACAAGGACACTGACTTTCATTATGGAATGAATAGGTTTGAGAGATTCAAGGCCTTTGTTGCTTCTCTGAGAAATGATACAGAATATTGTCAGCAGTGTGCGAATTAACGGTGTGCAATGTGCAATTTGCACATCGTTTTAGCTAAAATGAAACAATTGCACATCACTTTTTCAAACGATGTGCAAAATCAGCGGTTTTAACGAAAAACACTGTCGTAAATCATATGAATTTGTTCACGTTTAAAATATTAATTTAGCAATTAGCGCTATATAATAATTAACGTAATATCGATTTGATTTGTCTCTAAAGAAACACTTTTGTCAAAAATTGCACATCGTTTTTCTGAACTAATTCGCACACTGATTGTCAGGTGTACGACCTGGCTGTTGAGAAAGTGGGACCACCAGTAACCAGGTATGACCAACGGCATAGTTACAAACAAATGTATTTTGAAATTCTTGACACAGTTGTGACTACGCTGACTGAGCGATTTCAGGATGTGGAGCGTTTTAGATTTTGACCTTGTTAACCCTAGGGTGTTTAAGATGTGCAAAGGTGAAGTGCCCTCAGAAAAGATAAATCTTCTAAAGGAGGTTTATGGTGATATGTTTGACATACCAATGCTAGTTAGCCAACTTTGTTTTATTTACAGAGATAAAGACTTTCACCGTGATTCATGCGATGAACTATTGAAATATATTTTTCAGTTCCATTATCAATCTAGTATTCCAGAAGTTGCAAAACTGTTATAGATAATTGGGGATTTGTCAATTACAAGTGCTTCAGTTGAGAGGTCATTTTCTTGTTTGAAGAGGGTAAAAAATTATCTTAGAAATACTATGAGCCAAGGACGTTTTAGTTCTCTTTGCAGGGTTTCCATTCACAAAGGGGGTGTTTACATGAATCCGGAATGAGTTTCGATCCGGAATGAACTCATTCCACTTTAAAAGAAATCCTATTGCATGTTTACATGAATCCGGAATGAGTCACAACTCGATCCGGATCGAGTTCATTCCTAGTTTCATTCCGGATCGAAATTTACTTGTTATCTCATGTAAACGCGAATTGAGTTTCATTCTGGAATGATATTGTGATTAATGACGAAGCACGCATGTGGCATGGGATTGTCTTCCTGCAAATTGAAGCTCGTAAGCAAATAAAGAGGCTAAATGGGTTGAAATGAGTGCGAAGAAAAACAACAATTAGTTTCATGTAAACACGGATTGACATCACGTTTAGATCGGGATTGAAAGTCATTCCGGATTCATGTAAACACCCCCAAAGACATACTGTCAGAGAAAGAAGATGCCAACACATTGCATGATGAGGTAGTAAAGAAGTTCATTGAAAAACCACGAAGACTTGCTTTCTTATACAAGTAGGTATTCATAATAATAATAATAATTTTTCCGGGAACTTTTTAATGCAGGCAATGACGATTGTCATTTCAGCATGACAATGAACGGCATCACAACTTTTGATTGTTGTTGATGACAAATCTGAGCCTTTTTCGGTTCTTTTGTCAAAGTTTCTTTACAAGATGTACATAGGTATCTATTTATGTATGTGGTGTTGAGAAAATAAATCACATGTCTGCAACTATTTTTGAACTGTTTCTCTGCATTACTATAAGATCCTTCGGCAATTTAAACTGGTTCTAATTTATAGGTTCTATTTCCTGCATAAATATCACACATTTGCTTTCTAAGATAGCCGTTTCCGACGTTCTAGGGAGTCTAAATTCGGAAAATTTTCTCGCTCGGCGCTAACCATGGTGGCGCCTCGTGAGCCCGACCAAATGTTTTTCGCTAGCTACGCCAGCTACGTTACCTAGCTACTGAAAAATTTATACATGTACAAGATCCTATTTAAAGAAACTCCTATTTAAAGAAACACAGCCATGGCTCACAGATAGACATATTGTCATTCTTTTACCGTGCAGTACTATTTATGATTCAAACCAGTGTTGCCACTCACTATTTTACAAATTCCCAAGATTTTGAGCAAAAAGTCCCAAGATCCCCCACAGTCGTTTCTGGGGGACCCTTTTGTCATGGGTACACGATTAGCCGCACTAATGAACGCATAATGTAAGGACTGGAATGAATTGATTTTTGTTTTAATTTTAATTTCATAAAAATCGATAGTTTATGTATATAAGTTTTGAAATGATCAAATATAGTTCGTGAAACGCAACAGTACATAAAGAAGTCAAACATGGTGATGGTAACATCGTTGAAACAGCCAAATCGACAACATGCTAAGTGCTAACCAGACCCTATCTCAACAGTCTCTTCGTTTACAATGTCATAAACATCAGTCACATTTTCTTCCTGTTCCTGACGCTGACAATGTTTCTTAAAGTACTCCCTCCGACAATGACCAAATTGTACGTCTTTTACAAGTTTCGTAGACGGCTCCCACGTGTAGCAATGCGCACCTTGTCGAGCAATAGCTTGTCTTGCAATTAATCTGTTCCTCAAAGTTGAACAATGTAGGCGGTTGGTTTGAGGAGTCTTTATCATGTTAACTTGGGAAAAAATTCTCTCGACACAGGCAGATGAGTGAGGCAAAACAAGCAGGTTGCACATAAAATTTCCCAAAAGTTCAAACTTTTTATTGCCGTTACCATCTTTAATAGCTCTGATCTCATCCCAAAACTGTGTTGGGGAATTAGTCATGCCTTTAAGAGAGTCTGTGGCATATAACAATTGCCTCCACTGATCATCAAGTTCATCCAATTGATCTTCAGACACTAAAGACGGAAAATGGTGTGCTAATACCACCATCGAGTTTAATGACCGCCTGCTGGATAATGCCTCTGAAGGGTTGACTGCTGATAGCAAAGCTAGAACTCCATCACTTTTGAAAGAAAACCTCTTCTTTATTTGGTCACATAACTCAACGAGAAAGTTACGGCAATCGTTTCTGAAACGTTGTTCTTGGCTACCCGAAGACTGTTGGGTGCACAGGACTGTACATCTTCCTCCAAGATGAATATCGTTGAGAGGCTTGTATAGCTTTACGTCATTTGGATCAATCTCGTCCAACGGTGTTTCTCGTACGACTTTGTCGTGGATAAACATGGCCAAAATGCTTCTATACTCATCCGATATAGAACTGTACAGTGTGTGCAGCTTGAAATCTTGAGCCTGAAATTCAGCATTTAATCTGTCCACTTTTGACAATATGTAATTTAGGAATGCCATAATATGCTTGGTTCCATTCGTCGTCATGGTTTCATAGATCTTGACTGCCCGTCTACACAATCACATGGAGACTCAGATTGAAAGAAAAGTTTTAATGCATCCCATTGCTCTAAAATCCTGGCAACAACTTGGCCTCGGAGAGCCATCTCGTCTGTGAAAGCTTGAGAACTTTATGACGAGGCGCTTCAACAATATCTTGTATGAGACGGAACTGGTGTTGTCGCCGACTGCTACGGGAAAAATAACAGCAGACATCTTTCACAAATGCTTCCAACCATGAAGGTAGGCGACAACTTGCATAGTGTGCGCAGAGAGCAAAGGAGTGACAAATGCAACCAAAGACAAATACACCAGTACATCTTTTTTTAAAAGAGCCTGAAAACCTCCATTTTTGCCCATCATTGTTGAACAATTGTCGCCAGCAAAACCAACAACATTACTTAGTGGTATGGCTCGTTTTTGAAAAAAGTTTTTAACAGCCGCATACAATCCATCAGCAGTGCCGTTTTCTACTTCAAGGGCAGTCAATAAAGCATCAATCACTTTCCTTTCATGGTAAAATCTGACGACAACAGCAAGAATTTGGGAGACTGAAATATCTGTGGATTCGTCTACGATCAGAGAAAACTTGTTTTTCTGACAGATTCCTGATATTGACTCCACTTCCTCTCGTGCAATTCCTTCTTGAACAACATATGATGCCTTTGTTCTTTTTAACTGCATTTTTTGAGCAATTTTGCTGTCGGGAAACATTTTTTTCATTAACTCGCTGAGATGATCAGCCTGAAGAAAAGACGCTCGGTGCTCAGCTAGAAAACCAGATAACAAAACTTCAGCTTTTGCCGTCATTTCGTCAACATCTGGCCCTGTTTGCTTTTTAAAAACTTGCTCACTTGCAAAGTATTTTGCTTGGCTTTATATGCATCAGTATGTTTCTTTGTTGCTTTATGTTTCATCAAAGCCGACTTGTTGGGACCGTTGAATGTATGTTCACACACTTTGCATCTCACTGTGAATTTATTTCCAGGATCTTTTGAAATCAATCTGCTAATTCTGGATCTTTTAACCAAGCATCGTTGAACGATTGCTTGTACCATTTTTTATCTTCAGGTTTCGCTTTTTTTCTCGATGGACAATGATCATTCTTATCACTTGAGTTGCTTTCTTCGTCAAACATTTTGCTTCTGAAATGTGTATGCACTGTAGTGTTTTGAGCTCCCCACCCAAATGAAGCAAAACAAGTCAAGTTTACCTCAGGCTTGAATCCTAAGAAAAAGGCCGCCATTTTGTTTTTACAAAACCATACAGGAAAAAGTTTTTTGGATGTTCAATGTTCGCGTTCAATACATTGAGTTGAACAAGAACTGGAGGAACAAGGGGCCTGGACCCGGTTGTCAAAAACATGGCGGTGATGGCAGATTTTGGTTGTCAAACTTCCACTTTAAAATTATTTTTAATATTCACTCCTCCTGATTTCTACTGTTCAATAGTAAAGACAACCAAGAAATGCAATACCAATTAATAATATTTTCGATCGAAAGAAATGCTTCAGCGTTTTATGGAATACACGTACATTAATTTAAAGAATATCCACGGTAAAAGAACTTATATTATGTTCAAATAAACATCAGATTCAGACGGCATCTTCTGTGGGAGGGTGTGAAGGTTGTCAAGCTTATTTATAAACACGTGTCACACTTATTTATAAATTCATAATACGAGATAATATTACCTATAAAATATTTAAACAAAATATCCCAAGATTTTACAATATTTCGAAAAAAACTCCCAAGATCCCAAGCTTGAGCAGAAAATCCCAAGATCTTGGGAGAAATCCCAAGGCGTGGCAACACTGATTCAAACAAAAACGCAAAAACTAATACTTGTCATGAATCTTTCAGTTTTAGAAGTATATTCTCAAAAACGTTTTGCGCTCTCTGATTGGTTTAATTTTGAAAATACAAAC